ATTTGAATTAACCTTCCCCTGATCCCGTAAGACTGCACACATTCCCTTGTGCCAAGCTGACTCTATGGCCAAGTATTTCTTGAGTACTTAATGCATGTGAGACACTGCTGCTGGGCACTTTGGGACTTACAAAGCATAAGATACTCCCCATTCTTCAGGAACTTAAGAGGTAAGTAGGAAAATAAGAACCATACATGGATGATTTTTCAATGGTGAAATCTCAATGGTGAAAAGCAGAAAGATAAGGTTGCCCACTCTTGCCACTTTCATTCAATATAGTATTGGAACATAGTATTGGAAGTCCTAGCCGGAGCAATTAGGCAAGAAAAGGAAATAAACAACATCCACATTGGAAAGGAAGAAGTAAAAAATGTCACCATTTACAGATGACATCATGTTATATATAGAAAACCCTAAAGACTCCACCAAAAATCTGTTAGAACTAGTAAATGAATTCAGTAAAGTTGCAGGATACAAAATCAGCATACAGAAATCTGTTGCATTTCTATATACTAATAATTACTTCTCAGAAAGAGAAATTAAGAAAAGAATACCATATATAATTGCATTAAAAAATACCTAGGAATAAATTTAACCAAGGAGGTGAAAGACCTGTGTACTGAAAACTATAAGACATTGATGAAAAAAAACTCAAGACATAAATAAATAGGAAGATATTCTGTGCTCGTGGATTGGAAGAATTAATATTGTTAAAATGTCTGTACTACCCAAAGCAATCTACAGATTCAATGCTCTCTCTATCAAAATTCCAAGGACATTTTTCACAGAAGTAGAAGAAATAATCCTAAAATTTGTATGGAACCACAGAAGACTCGGAATAGCCAAAGCAATCTTGAGAAAGAAGAACAAAGCTGGAGGCATCATGCTTCCTGATTTCAAACTATATTAGAAAGCTAGAGTAATCAAAATACTATGGTATTGGCATAAAAACAGACACATAGATCAATGGAACAGAATAGAAAGCCAAGAAATAAAGCCACGTACATATGATCAATTAATTTGTGACAAAGGAACCAAGAATATACAATGGGGAAAAGGAGAGGCTCTTCAATAAATGGTGTTGGAAAAACTGGGTATCCACATGCAAAAGAATGAAACTGGACCCCTATCTTACACCATACACAAAAATTAATTCAAAATGAATTAAAGACTTGAATGTAATATCGGAAACCATAAAATTCCTAGAAGAAAACATAGGCAGCAAGCTCCTTGACATTGGTCTTGGTGATGATTTTTTGGCTTTGACACCAAAAGCAAAGGCAACAAAGGCAAAAACAGAGAAATGGGACTACATTAGACTAAAAAGTTTCTGCAGAGCAAAGGAAACCATAAACAAAATGAAGAGGCAGCCTACTGAATGGGATAAACTATTTGTAAATCATATACCTGATAAGGGGTTAATATCCAAAATATATAAAGAACTCATACAATTCAATAGCAAAAACAAACAATCCAGCTAAAAGATGGAAAGAAGATCTGAATAGACATTTTTCTACAGGAAACATACAGATGGCCAACAGGTTCATGAAAAGATGCTCAACATCAGTAATCATCAGGGAAATGCAAATCAAAATCACAATGAGATATCACCTCACATCTGTTAGAATGGCTATTATCAAAAAGACAAGAGACAACAAGTGTTGGCGAGGATGTGGAGAAAAGGGAACCCTTGTGCACTGTTGATGGGAATGTAAATTGGTGCAGCCACTATGGAAAATAGTAGGGAGAGTTCTCAAAAAAATTAAAAATAGAACTACTATAAGATGCAGAAATTCCACTTCTGGGTATTTATCCAAAGAAAATGAAAACACTAACTCAAAAAGATACATGCACCTCCATGTTCATTGCAGCAATATTTACAATAGCCAAGATACGGAAACAACCTAAGTGTTACTGATGGATAAATAGATTAAGAAAATATAGCATACATATACAGTGGAATACTATTCAGCCATAAAAAGAATGGAATCTTGCCATTTGCAACAACATAGATGGAACTTGAAGGCATTATACTAAGTGAAATAAGTCAGACAGAGAAAGACAAATACGTATGATCTCACTTACATATGGAATCTAAAAAAAAAAAGACCCCAAAACCAAGCTCATAGATACAGAGAACAGATTGGAGGTTGCCAGAGGTTAGGGATGGAGATGTGAGTGAAATGGGTGAAGGGGGTCAAGAGGCACAAACTTCCGGTTATAAAATAAATAAGTCCTGGGGGTGTTGTTTACAGCCTGGTGACTACAGTACCCCTAGGCTCATTGTAGCATTATTTACAATGGCCAAGGTATGGAAACAACCTAAGTGTTATCGATGGATGAATAGGTAAAGAAAATGCAGTATACATATACAATGGAATATTATTCAGCCGTAAAAAAGAATGGAATTCTGCCTTTTGCAACCACATGGATAGACTTTTTTTTTTTGAGGAAGATTAACCCTGAGCTAACATCTGCTGCCAATCCTCCTCTTTTTGCTGAGGAAGATTGGCCCTGAGCTAATATCCGTGCCCATCTTCCTCCACTTTATATGTGGGACACCTGCCAACAGCATGGCTTGACAAGTGGTCCGTAGGTCCACATCCAGGATCCGAACTGGCAAACCCTGGCCTGCCAAAGCAGAACGTGCAAACTTAACCACTGCGCCACCAGGCTGGCCCCTGGATGGACCTTGAGGGCACTGTGCTAAGTGAAATGTCAGACAGAGAAAGACAAATACCGTATGATCTCACTTACATGTGGAATTGAAAAAAAAAACACCAAGAACTGGAACAACAGAAAATGAAGCTCACAGACAGAGAACAAATGGCTGGTTGCCAGAGGCGGAGGTGGAGATGGGAGAAATGAGTGAAGGGGTCAAAAGGTACAAACTTCTGGTTATAAAATAATTAAGTCATGGGAATGTAATGTACAGCGTGGTGACTATAGTTAATAATACTGTACTGCATATTTGAAAGTTGCTAAGAGAGTAGATTTTAAAAGTTCTCATTGCAGGAAAAAAAATTCTGTAACTATATATGGTGATGGATGTTAACTAGACTCACTGTGGTCATCATTTCCTAATATATACAAATATCAAATGGTTATGTTCTACATCTGAAACTGATATAATGTTGTATGTCAATTATACCTCAACAAAAAAAGAAAGTATACATGGAAAAGATACTCAGTATACAAGAAATATGTAGAACTACTTCTTTTTTTTTTTTTTTTGAGGAAGATTAGCCCTGAGCTAACTACCGCCAGTCTTCCTCTTTTTGCTGAGGAAGCCTGGCCCTGAGCTAACATCGTGCCCATCTTCCTTTAAGTAGAACTGCTTTTTAAACAAACAAAGGATTTGTATGGTCATGTACATTTTTTCTCCATCAATGCAGAAAATCTATATATTTTCTTCAGTTATTCTATTGCTTTTAGCCTTGAGTATGGGCAGGACACGTGGCTTGCTTCTAATAAACAGAATATAACAGAACTATAGGGATGTATGCAATTATGTGTCATTACATGATTATGTGACTTAAGATTTTAGCGTCCACTTTGCTTGGATCTCTTTTTCTCTGGTTTCTAGGAAGCAAGTGGTCGTGTTGGGGAATTCACATGGTAAGGAACTGTGAGTGGTATTTAGGAACTGAGGGTGGCCTCTGGCCAACAGCTAGCAAGATATTGAAATCCTCAGTCCTACAACTGCAAGAAACAGAATTCTGCCAATAACTGTCCCCAACTGAGCCTTGAATGACGCCACAGCCCGGTTGACGTCTTGACCGCAGCCTTGTGAGACCCTAAGCAGAGGACTGGCCTGCCCATGCCTGGACTCCCGACCCACCGCAGTTGTGAGATAACAAACGTGTATTGTCTTAAGCCACTAAGTTGGTGGTAATATTGTTACTCAGCAACAGATGACTAGTATAGTTATTTTTTAGAAGTTTTATAATTTCAACTCTCATGTTTATGTCTTTGATCCATTTCAAGTTAATTTTTATAGATAGTGTGAGGTAAGGGTTGAGATTGTCTCTCTTTCTCTTTTCATCCCTTCTTCTTTTTCTTTCTTTTTTTTTTTTTTTGCATATGACCATCCAATTTTTCCACCACCAGCTGACGAATTGTTGAAAATACTATCCTTTGCCCATTGAGTTGCCTTGGGATCTTTGTCAAAAGACAAGTGACTGTGTCTATGTGAATCTGTTTCTGGACTTTCTGTTCAATTGCACTGTACGTCTACCTTTACGCCAATGTACACTGTCTTAATTACTGTAGCTTGATAATAATTCTTGAAATGAGATAGCACAAGTCTTCCAACTTTGTCCTTTTTTTCAAAGATTTTTGGCTATTCTAGGTGCTTTGCATTTCCATGTAAATTTTGGAATGCAGGGTCATCACAACACAAGAGCACTCTCCTTTTTTGCCCTGTCGCCCCGGGTCAAAAACCATAACCTCTGCCTTTGCCTCCTCAGCCCTGAGTCACCTGTCCCCTGTGTCTTACAATTTCAGGGGACACATAACAAGCTTTCTGAGAGGCTTACTGCAAGCTCCTCTTACTAGACTCGTGAGACGGTGACATTGCTGCTCACGATGCGGCAGCAGCTCTTGCCGGGGAAATCTTTCCACGAGCCCTCTCCAGTGGGGTTCCCCGTGGAAAGTTCCTGGAGTGTTTTGTGTCTGCAGTGTGGGTTGTGCTCTCGGCCAGTTGTGTCGAACAGCTTCATCTTAGTCTGTCTCACAACTTGCTTGGTATCTCATGCACAGCTCTCAATTTAATGTTTTATTATACATTTAAATGTACATATATTAAGACATCTAAATAACTTCATCGAGCATTTGTAGTTGTTTCGTAGGGGGAGGGTTGTCGAGGGAATCGAGTCTGCAACATTACCAGAAACAGAAGTCTGCAACGCTTTTCCGGCTCTTGGTTGCTGCCATTCTCTTCTGGTTACCATTGTAATTATAGATTAATCACATGGAATGTACAAACTGTTTCTCTGCAGGGCAATTGCACCACGGAACACATAGAACTTTCCTCTTTGGAGGGGCGGAAGGAATAGAGCAAGACTTTGCCTTTTGAATATATCGGGAAGAGGAGAAGTGCTCAGAACCTGGGAAAATCTGGAATTTTCCAAGTCCTTTTCAATGCTTAAATCAGCTCTTGCAAGCACTAAGCCTCGCAGCTGGGGCAGCAGCCATCCTCACCATGTGCTGGTTCGGAGGCAGTTTCCTCTGAAATGACTGTGTAAATTCAGGTGAGTGCTTGTTAAACGCACTATTATACACTCGCAGGCAGGAAGCATGGGGGGCGCTGTTTGGCGGGATTAATAATATGACTATAAAAGAAATAGAGGCTCTCCCTACTGCTGCTTTTTTTTTTTTTTTTAAAGAAAAGGCCAATATTTATACTCAAATGTCTTGACAGTTTGAAACTCATTTTTTATTAAAATAAATGAATACATAATTGATGTTGAGTATATACATTATGTACCTTGGTTTTGGTCAATATTTTTTACAAGCATGTAGCACAAACCCAAGGGAAATTTTTTTGAACTGATAATTTACTTGAGTTTTAAAAACATGCTGATGGGCCTTAAAATATCTGGTATACGTCCTCTTGTGAGAGTTTCTCTAAGGTAGCAATTTGCATACTTTTGAAGGATCATCCTGGCTGTTGTGTTGAGGATAGACTTGGGGTTAGGGAACAACGACAAAAGCTGGGAGACTGGTTGGGAGGCCATTTCAATAGTCCAGAGGAGTATTAAGTGACTTGAACCAGAGAGTGGTGGCAAGGATGATGGTGACAAGTGGTTGGAATGAAGTCCGTTTTGGAGGTAAAGGTAATATGATTTGCTGATGCTTAGACAAAGCACATGAGAGGAAAAGAAACGTCAAAGAAGATTCCAAAGGTTGGGGCTAAACAACTAAGAGGTTGATGGTACCATTCACTAAGATACAGGACACTGGGGGATGAGCAGCTTTGGGGAGAAGATCAATATCACGAAATCTATTTTTGAAATTTTAAGCTTAAGTGCCAATCAGACTTCCCAGTGGAGATGTCAAGATATTGGAGCTTTAAAGAAAAGCTCAGGGCTAAAGATACCGATTTGGGAACCATCAGTGTAAGGATGGTATTAGTAAGGATGATATTTAATATTGTGAGACTCAAGAGAGAGTGCGTGCAGACTGAGAAGAGGTCCACAGACTCTGAGAGCATCCTAACATTTAGAAAATTGGAGAGGGGGAAAAGATCTAGTAAAGGACACTGAGAAGGAATAGCTGTTGAGACAGGAGGAAACCAGGGGAGTGTAGGGGCCTTGCTTCCTGTCTGTTCAATGCTGCTAACTTACAATTGACTGTAGGAATCGACAACATGGAGCTGGTGTGGGCAAAAGTCTGACTGCAGTGGACTCAAGACAGAAAAAGGACAGTAGCTTGAAGAGATGTGGAATCAAGTGAGGTTGCTAAGATCAAGATATTACAACATTCTTGAATGCAGATGAGAGATCCCAAGTAGAGAGGGGAATTCGGGGGAGAGAGGAGGCAACTGCAAGATTGACATCCTTAAGTAGGCGGGAGGAGATGGGGACCCAGCACACAAGTTGCAGGGCTGCCCTGAGTTAGGAGAACAAAGAAGAGTTTGTTCTTCACAGCAGTGGGAAAGCAGAGTAAGTAGGCATAAAGGCAGAGAGTGGCTAGATGTGGTGCTGGGAGTGTGTGAAAGTTCCCTACTAATTTTTCTCTGCTGTGTTCTCAGTTCAATAAGAAGTAAGGGTCAGCTGAGACGAGCTAGTTGGTTGAAGGCAGTCACGCAAGGGGTGAACGAGAAGTTTTGCTTTTAATAAAGGACAGCTGGTCAAAGTTGTGCTGTGGAAGATAAATGAATTGGCAAGTAAAGACCATCATGCCTACTGGCAAGACAGGCTGGCAAGCAATTTTTGAAAACCAAAGAACTTTAAGGCCAGCTGAACAGGAGAAAGCTTCACTGAACATTTCGTGGCAGTGCATTCATTTGACCAACATGAGCTGAGAGCCGGCACCGGGCTAGGAGGTCAAGATGTGATCATGGATGAGATCCCTCGTGGACCATCTAACCTGTGCAGGTATAGTTTTCTGCAAGAATAAGTCTCAATTTTAACATTGAAGTAATTGGGGAAACAGCGGGTATTCTCAGGTATCTGGTGAGAGTAGGGAAGGAAGGTGGTGAGAACTGACGAATGCATTGCAGGGGGATGGGAGGCAGAAATATTATAACTTGGAACAGACTCAAACATTTCTCCTTATGCTCAACTCTCCTTTTTATGTAACTTTTAACTTACACAGAATTCATTGCTATGAACTCTGCTACCAACTGTGTGGGCTTCGACAAGTCCCCTAATTTATGTGCAAAATGTGTTCTGGATGGGGTGCTCTCCAAGGACTCACCCCATGGGGCCAGGATTCTGCCACGGAATCTGTTTTTCCATCATGAGCAGTAACTAGAGAAGTTGTTTTGTCAGACTACTGTGAAGAAAATCCATCCCAAATGTTAACTGTTTTTGTAAACCTCTCAAGTCATTCTGCTCCTTTCCTCTTTTATGGTTCCAGGTGAATCCAAGAAGGTCATCATTAAATAATCCACAATTGTAAAAGATTTGCTAAAACCTAGTGTGCTTGGCCTTCTCTGCTCTTTAGCTGGCAGTAATAAAACAGAGAATCCCGGCAGGATTCCATTCCAAATCATATTCTGCATTTATTGTTTCGGCTCCTTTCTGTCATTATTCCAAACAGAACCACACTGAGCTCACACACTTTCAAAACGACCATTTGTTTCCCCATACTGAAGAAGGTGGTACAGAATTTTCTATCTCAGAGCAACTGTTGTTTTCCCCTGGCACATTTACGTCTCAAAGCTGTATTACCTAATGCTTGTTGAATAGTATGATTTCTATTCACTTTTTGAAAAGCCCTTACTTAGGGAAATGCAACTCAAAACTACAACGAGATATCACCTCAGAAAATGGCTATAATTGACGAGACAAGAAATAACAAGTGTTGGAGATGATGTGGGGACAAAGGAACTCTCATACACTGCTGGGGGGAGTGTAAACTGGTGCAGCCACTATGGAAAACAGTATGTAGATTCCTCAAAAAGTTAAGAATAGATCTACCATATGATCCAGCTATTCCACTGCTGGGTATTTATCCAAAGAACATGAAAACATGAATGCATAAAGATACATGTACCCCTATGTTCATCGCAGCATTATTCACAATAGCCAAGACTTGGAAGCAACCTAGGTGCCCGTCGAGGGACGAATGCATAAAGAAGATGTGGTATATATACACAACGGAATACTACTTAGCCATAAAAAAGGATGAAATCTTGACATTTGTGACAACAGGGATGGACCTTGAGGGTATTATGCTAAGTGAAATAAGTCAGAGGGAGAAAGTCAAATACCATATGATCTCACTCATAAGTAGAAGACGAAAACAACAACAAACAATCACATAGCAACAGAGATTGGATTGGTGGTTACCAGAGGGCAAAGGGGGAGGGAGGAGGGCGAAAGGGTTGATGAGGCATGTGTGTGGGGTGATGGATTGTAATTAGTCTTGGGTGGCGAACATGATATAATCTACACAGAAATCAAAATATAGTGATGTAGACCTGAAATTTATATAATGTTATAAACCAATGTTAGTGCAATAAAAAAAGAAATAAAATACATCTTAAAAAATGAATTAAATCTTACAATGGTTTCCTATGTACAAGAGTTAAAATCAAAGAATAACAAAAAAGGAAAGCCCTTACCTAATGGATTTTAATTAAACCAGTTTTTAGTCAATTAAACTTTTCCCCACTTTTTTTTCATCTTTACACAGACTGTTTCCTTATTCCACTGGAACGAAGTAGTACTAGGCAGTGATTAATTCTGGATGACCACATCAAAGGAGCCATGGAACCATTTCCCATTAAGGACAAATTACTAAACACTTGGTAAAGGCAATAATAATCTTTGTTTTATTGTTCTGACCTTACAAATGTTTTTATTTTCCCACATATCCTTGTGTGGTTCAATTATGTTTATCACATAGAGCTAAAAGTTAGGTGATTCTAAGTTCCCTCTGCTATTGAAGGGAATTGTTGTGTGACTACACAAACTATTCTATTCTTTGCAAGCTGGAATAAATCCTCTAGTGCCTTTCTTCATGAGCTGAAGTCCATCTATCCTTAAAGCTTAATATGAGTTTTCCATATATCTTTGTACGAATTAGGATTTCATGCAAATAAAGTAGCTTAAACAATAAAGAGAAATATTGGCTTACGTAATAGAAAAATCCAGAGGTAGTCGGCTTCAGGTAAAGTTTGGTCCAGCAAACAATGTCATAGAGGAGAAAAGCGTTACAGAGAGTGTCAGAACATTGAGTAAAAAAAATATATTAGGTTAGTTTTCAAGATTTTGTGATGTTTTTTGTACTGGTCAGCTTTTTGAAATTTATAATGTATTGTGATGTCTTTTCTTACTCTAAATAATTTAGTATTCATAATTTTTATTCTCTAAAGTGATTTCTGCAAAATTGTATAAACTTGAAGCTTCACAAAACCTGGATCTATCCTTGCTGAAGATAGGGTAGAAAGTTGCTCCCAGAAGAAAATATTTTATGAAAAAGGGGGTGAAAGGACATCTAATGGTGAAAACATGGCATGGCCACTAAAGATTTAAACCTGTTGGAACTTTCTTAGCTTTCAATTCCGCCTGTGAGTCTGACAAATGTTTTATCGGTAATGAAGCCATTTAAAAGCAGGGACTATCTGTTAACTTCTCTGATTGTGCCTCCAGTGATCAGCAAAGCAATTTGTATGTAAAAACGTTGATTTACAAATGCTTCTTTTCAGTACTGTGATTCCAAAATGATTACACTTTCTTTTTACTTGAACATACAGGAAAGTTGCATGGAGGAGTCCAAGCTCCATGGAGGAGTTAAATCATAAACTCAAAAGACCCTACCCAGAAATATGATTACAACAACAGCAAAACACGTTTCTAGAATAACACAATGACCTAAGCCTTGGCCACGGACTCACTCATTTCATATAATTATCTATTGCCTATGTCCCTGGTATTTGTTGAAATAGAACTTTAACGAACGTAAGAAATCCTGCCTGATGTAAGATTGTTATTAATTTAAGAAGCATTAAACATAACTCAGCATTCTCTATCATGCTTGAAGAGCATATGTTTATTTTAAAGGTTGATCCAGAAAATGCATTTTAGGAAAGAGTTAGTGTGAAATTACTTGGGAGGAAAATATTTGAATTAGACTGCTCACCCTGGCCTTTCCAGGAAAGGTTTGGGATTCCTGTTGAATTTTGCCATTAATTAAAATTGATTCTCAGTATGAAAGCTCGTGGGGATGAATTTGGTCAGGTTTGTCTAGAGATTGTTGTCATTGGTCTGGAGAGGTGAAGATCTTACTCCTGCAGACTCTGTGGCTTCTCTCAGAGCTCCTTCATTTGGCTGTTATGGGTGACACTTTGGTACATCAATAAGTAACCGTATTTGGGGGCCGCTTGGGGTCTGCTGGAAACAAATCCAAACAAACCAGCATTTACCTTATTTGTACTTTGCTGTTTGCCAAGTTACCTCTGTCAACACAGCATCTTCATTTGTAAAAACCAAGGGATTGTTCCAGAATGATCTCTGAGGTCCAAGCAGCTGTGACATTCTGTTATTCTAGGATCCCACTCTAAATACTCTCAGGAAAATGTTAAAAGGCTTGATTAACATGGGAAGTAGTTCCCTGGAACTCAGGAATCATCTTCAGCTTGCGAATGTACTGACTTTAAACTTTTCTGGAAATTTTCTGAGAACAAGTAGTGCTTTCCAAGATTTCTTAGAAAGGAGGAGACTTTTCTTCCCCTTCGGCAGTTAGACCACCCTGCCTCAGAAACCATCTTGGATTGGGGATATTTGTAGAAGTGTTCGTAGGCCTCAGAATCACCTGGGGTCTGATTAAGCACAGATTGCTGGGTCCCACCCCCAGAGCCTCTGGTTCAGCTAGTCTAGGGAGGGGCCTGAGACTCTCCATTTCTACCAAGTCCCCAGGTGATGCTGGTGCTGCTGGTCGGGGACCACACTTAAAGCCTCTGGTTTATAGCACTTACACATTTAGCCGACTCTTCCCTTGAAGATGGAGGACATCTAAGGTCTGTGGCCTTATGTAGGATGAGGTCTATATATTTTTTTGTCCCTAAAGACACCTCTTTTCTCCCTGCCCCACCCCAGGCCTGGAAAGTCAGAGTTATGGTACGAGGCAGCCCAGCCAGATGGTGGGTTCTCACTTTCCAATCCCTGGCCGGAAGTATGGAGGGGCCCTAGAGAATACTTTTTTCTTTTCACCAGTGGTTTGTACTAGGAGACTTCTTATTTGGGGGGACTGGAGCCAACTAGCATTCCTGACCTTTCATCCAGTCAATTCTATAAATATTCTTAATTAATCCTGAAATAAGGCATTTCATCCATTTATGTATCTATCTGCCCATCCATCCATCCATCTAAATAGTTTATAATCACCCTAGAAAAACTGAAGAATAAACGCAAACAAAAAATAAATAACATCCAAAATCCCAAGAGCCCAAGAAAATCACTTCTAAACTTTTCTGTAACTATAGAAACACATGTTACAAAAATGGGGTCCTATTGCTCTGAAACATGCATTACTATCTACTGTGGACATCTGTCCATGTTAACAAATATGCAACCACACCATCACTTTGATTTTCACTTTAAATTTATATATTATTGATTATAGAAGTAACAATTTTCTAGTGTAAAAACTTTAGACAATTCAGGAGTGTAGAAAAAAATAGAAGTCCCATTCTCCCATACAAAACACTATTTTCAATAGCTGCATAGTATTTTATTATATAGAAAACACCATAATTTAAGCAGTCCCCTGTGAACATTAAGCCCACAAGTTGCTTCCTTTTTTGCTATTATAAATAATACTGTATTTAAAATTTTTGAATGTAGATACTTGCACCTTTCTATGATTATTTCCTCATTTTAATGTCCTTGTGGTTATAAGGGTAATGTATGTTCACACAATTTAGAAATAATAAAAATAGTTTTGTCTGAGGTACTTGTGACCAGCAGATAGTTGATTAACTGAAAAAGTTAGTAAAGCAAGGAATCATCAAAAAAGAGGAATTTTATGAAAGATAAAGATGACTCTAATGTTATTTAAGCTGTTCCAGGGTATAGAAAGAGAAAAAAGTATCCAAATTATTTTATATAGGCGACATAACATTGATAATAATGTGCAACAATTATTGCGCAAGAAAACCATAGAGTCATCTCACTTACGACTATTAATGCAATAATCCAACATAAATGTTAGCAAATAGACTTCAGTAACGCATTAAAAGAATAATAACATTAACAATTAAGAATTCCAGGAATGCAAGGACTATTTGATATTAGGAAATTTATCATGATAGGAGAAAATTAATATCATCTTTCCAGTAGGTACTAAGAAGGTATTTGATAAAAGAAAAACTATCCATTCCTTTTGAAGAAAAGAAAAACTATAAAGAAGTAACATTTTACATGTCAATTTGGCAAGTCTCATAAGTTTGCTAACAAACTGTGTAGGTGAAAGTGAGAGAAAAATAAACATTATTACACATACTAAATGGAGTGTGAATTGGCACAATGACTACGAAGGGGAATTTGGCAATATTTATCAAGATTATAGATATAAATATACTTCCACCCAGCAATTCATTTCTAGGAATTTAGCCAACCAATAGCTGAAACCGGTGTCCAGATAGCCATTAATGATGATTCTTAAAAGTCATGTATATAAGCAATATATTATCAGACTCCCACCAGGTTCCTTATAGATAACATCTCTGAAGCTTGGGTCACCGTGGTAGCGGATGATTAAGTTGTTTTTCAGGAACTGAGAGTCAACACCTTGTCCAGTTCAGGCCAGTTGAGACCACCAACTCATCAATGGCACTGTGTGAATGCCTGATGGGTGGACTCTTTGACATCAGGGAGCCAAAAACTCTACCCTCAGCTCATGCTAATGCCACCTTTGTGTGAACATGTGTCCTCGGAAGAGCCATGAAGCTTGACTACACCTGTGCCGATCGTCTGTTACCTCACTTCACCTTCCCTCCAATCATCTAAGCTCACACTTCAGCCACCCTGCCACTTTGTACCATAAATATCCCTAATCCCCATCTTCAGGGACGTGGATCTGAGACTTGTTCTCTCCTCTCCTCGCTTGGCTGCCTTGTGAATAAACTCTTTCTCCACTGTAAAATTTGTCTCGGTGATTAGCATACTGTGCAGTGGGCAAAATGAGCCTAGTTCAGCACCATAGCTCTCCTATGTGCAAATGACATATGTGTGAAGTTATTAATTGTAGCATTATTTGAAATTGCAAAAGATTGGAAGCAATCAAAATGTCCAGCAATACAAGTTTGGTTAAATGAACTGTGTACATTCATACAATGGAAAAATAATGCAGCTATTTAAAAAAATGTAACGACTTGGACTATCTTCCAAGATACAGTATGGCAAGGTACAGAACCATTTGTGTGAAAAAAGGAAGGAAACTAATATAAATGTTTATTTTTGCTTGTTTATGCATAAAATATTCTGAAAGGATACCCAAGCATCTTAGCTTGGTCTGTGATAAAATATCATAGTCTGGGGGGCTTAAATAACAGAAATTTATTTTCTCACAGTTCTGGAGGCTGGAAGTCTGGGGTCAGGGTGTCAGCATGTCAAGTTCTGGCGAGAGCTCTCTCTATGGCTTGAAGATGGCTGTCTTCTTGCTGTGTCCTCACATGGTGGAGAGAGAGCAAACTTTCTGGTGTCTCTTCTTATAAGCGCACTAATCCCTATATGAGGGCCCCACCTTCAGGACCTCATGGAAACTTAATTACCTCCCAAGGGCTCCACCTCTAACTACTATCACATTGGAGGTTAGGGTTTCAACACATGATTTTTTCTGGTGGGGACACAATTCAATCTATAATACTAAGTAACTGATAATAGCAGTTGCCTCTGGGAACAGGGAGGGGAAAAAAAGAGGTAGGAGATATGGCTGTAAAGGTGATTTTTCGCTGTTTGCTCTTTATACCTCTGTAATTTTCCAATTTTCTAGCACCAACTGGGTGTTCAACAATTCAATTCCAACATTGTCTACTTGGAGTTAGTGTCATACGCCATAAGTTAAGGGGCTCAGTCCCACAAGACTGTCCCCACTTCAGATGCCGGTCACAAGTCCTGGGCCACCCATACTTCTGACCAACCAGCTATAAATTGGGAGTTCCCTCGACCCCTTCCTCAGGTTTGATAATTTGCTGAAATGGCTCACAGAACTCAGGAAAACATTTACCTATTTATTATAAAGGATGCAAATGAACAGTCAGATGAAGGGGCACATGGGTGAGGTCCAGAAGGGTTCTGAGTACAAAAACATCTGTCCTTGTGGAGTTGGGGTGCACCACCCTCCCAGCACTCAGTTGTGTTCACCAACCTGGAAGCTCTCCAAACCATGTTTAGGGATTTCTATGGAGGTTTCATTACCTAGGCATAGTTGATCAAATCACTGGCCATTGGTGACAGAGCTCAATCTCTAGCCCTCCCCTCTCCCCAGAGGTTGGGGGTGGGCTGAAAATTCCAACCCTCTAATGAAGGCTTGGTCTTTCGGGAGACCAACCCCTATCCTGAAGCCATCAAGAGGACCAAAAACAGTCACTGCATTAGCATAAACTCAGATATGGTTGGAAGGGGCTTGTTATGAATAACAAAGACCCACTCCTCACTCAGGAAATTCCAAGGGTTTTAGGCCCTCTGTGCCAAGAAGTGGATTGGAGGGGGACACAAAGACAAAATATATATTTCCTATAATATTGCAGTACCTTCTGAATTTTGATCTACACACATACACACACGTGCGCGCATGCGCGCACTCGCTAAAGGGTATTAAAATACTGGAGAGAGGGAAATGCTCAGAAAGCCTGAGGTAGCCAAGTTCACATAACTTGCTGGGGTCAGTGCTGGGCCTCAGGTTTCCTCACATCTATATGAAGATTCTTGCCAATGTGTCATGATTATTTTCTCATCCCTCTGAAGATGTTTACTGCTTTTGCGACTTCAGGGCGTCTGAGCATTCCAGTTTTCATAATTAAAAAAGGTGAATCCTCCAGACTTTGGGGCATGGGGCACTTGTGGGAGATCAACGGTAATGTAGTTTTTCTCCAGTAATCAGTGCAAGACATAGTATACATAGAGTGACAACCATTTATATCATGCAAATTGGGAAAGATTGGAAACTGTCCCAGCCAAAATACGTCTCTACTAGTCTGCTCGAAGACCTGAAAGAAACCCCGCGATGGTGTATCTCTTAAGTGAAGTGCAAACATTTCTAGGAGAGGTACTCTCACACTCTCAACATCCATTATTAACTTCTGAAGAAACAAACTTATTAGATTCCTGCTTCCAGGTCAGATTCCAAGAGCAAGCTCCGACTGGCCTGGGTCTAGGGAGGGTAAATTTTAATGAAAAAGAAACATCTGAGGATCAGTTTCATCATCTGTAAAATGAGTGGGCTGGACCAGTGTGTCCTCAGGTTTCCTTCCTTCGGGGCTCTGCTCCGGCTGAAAGGTTTTTAAAGTACCTCATCTCACATGGCAAACTTGCGATGGGTGGGAAGGGTGGGGGGGTTGTTTTTCTTACTTGTCAGATGAGGAAACTAAGGCTCAAAAGAGTTGTGTCTCTTCCCCAAGCTCAGCAGCCAAGAAGCCTGTTCAGCAAGATCACTTAACTCCAAGTTCAATGACTCTTCCATGACGTCACACTCATTCCTTCATCTATTGAGCACCTACTGCGGGGTATGGTGCTGGGGATGCAACCTTGAAAAGATGAGGCCCCTGTCCTCTTGGGGCTGGAGAAGATGAGTGCTTAGAGAGCTGCATGGTCATTCCCTGCTGGAGAGACAGATGGAGGCAAGAAAGAGAGTTGGGGGCGGGGATCATGGCAAGCTTCACAAGAGGGGCGCATCGCTGAAGCTGAACTAGGAAGGACGGGTGAGTGTTTGGTATAAGGAAAGAGAGGGCCAGTGCTTTCAAGGCAAAAGACTTCATTCTTAAAGCCGGACACCTAGGGCGCTGTGTCAGTTGTCTATAGCAGACGGGCAGAGAGAAACTTTTGGGCAGAGGGGTCTTTCACTTCCTTTTGGATAACATCGTTTGTCCTTGCCTTATTTGGGTTTGTGCTAGACTGTCGAGAACATAGGTTCCTCACTGGCTACTCTGCTATCCCCTGAGTGGTGTTTATTGTTTTTTATTTTGGGAGGAAGATTGTCCCTGAGCTAACATCTGTGCCTATCTTCCTCTATTTTATGTGAGGTGCTGCTGTCCGTGTGGTCTTTTTTCAGGGCATTATATTATGGAAGAAGACGAAAAGTGGCGGACAGTAACAGGCCATGCCATAACTTCTTCAGTTGTTTTAGACTTAGTTTTACTTCCCATACTATGGAGTAAGGGACTGGAATCCCTCGTGAAGTTTTCATAAGACTCAGTAAACACTCAAGTCACGGACGTGAAAGACAAGGCAAATTTTCATCACTGCTTAAAAAAAGAAATCCATCATGGCGACTGCGTGGGGAAGCTGTTGCTGTGGGTGAGGGCTCCCTGGAACAGGGGCAGGTTGCTTCCAGATGGTTTCTGTGTACCTCATTCTGCAACCCTCCTCTTAGAATCCCAACCCCATCAGAAACACACTTCAGAAGCAGAAGTAGGAAAATCTCTCTCTTTCCTTCCTCAGACTTGCTCCTCATTTTTCAACTACCTTGGTCAGTATCACTGTGACATGCAGCTGCTTCCGGGGTGTCAGTTGTTCTCCGTCAGCTCACTCACAGACCTGTAAATACACACACACACACACACACACACACACTTCACACCTCTCTCCTGAAGCAGATGAAATCCATCTTCTGCTATACTCTTTACATTTCTAACACCGGTATATGATGACATTCAAGGTTCCTAGCCAAAGCTTTTATTCATTTCACGCTCTTAGAAGAGACTTACAGCAGTTATTCCAAATCTTTTGCACATTCTGCAAATCCGCTGTTTGCTTTTCTTTTATGCTGAGAGGGAAAACGTTTTATTCACCTGAATCTTTCTTAACATATTACATTTATTTGTGAACCAATCCTTTCACAGCTGCTGCAGGTAGCACCCAGGGTGGGTGTTCGAGTGAGATTCACCAGAGAAAGACTGTGCTGTCTTGGATGAGAGAAACTTGCATCATCCCAGAAACAGAAGATGAAAATAGGGAGGAAAGAGAGGAACGGGCATGGCCAGGCCACCATCCTCTTAGTCACCCAGGCTTGTGACCTTAAATACTCCTCACCTCCTTACATTTCCGTGCCCTCCCCAGGCAGCCAGTTGCCAGTGCCTGCCATTCTTCCTTCTCTGCCATTTGAATGGGAATCCCCTTCATTCGTTTCTACTATTATCTCTTTACCCTGGATCCTGAACACTGATCTCCAAATATATCACCTCCCAGCTGAGAGTCCTACCACCAACTTCTCTACCCTCCTCCCACCTCTGTCACACCCCGTCATCAGATCAATCTTCCTAAAACACATACTTTGTTCACCGCATTGGGCAAAGTTTTCAGTGGCTCCCCACTGCCTATTAACCAAAGCTTGATAGTTTTAGTCTAGAATTCAAGGCTCCAAGCACGTTGGCCCTCACGTATCAACTTCTTGTCCTATCTTCATAGCATTAGCTCTTATTAAGCATCTAACCATGGGTCAGGCATGCTGTTAAAAGCTTCTACATGTTATGTACCCAACCAGAATCCCTCTCCAGTAAAGGTGTGTGTCCCTGCTTCCGGAGGTCCTGTTGGGCTGCTCTTGCGGAGAGCTGAACATGTGACACAGGCCAGCCAGTCAGAGCACTCTACTCTCCCCACCTCCACCCCCAGCTTTCTGAAATTTGACTTGTAGGGGTGGGAGAGTGGGCTTCTGTCTTCTTCTGGGATCAAAATCTACACAGAGAAGCAGAGGAGAGCAGAGGAGATGAGGAATGAGAGAGAAAGGGAAACCTGATGACATTGGTTTCCCACCACGCAGGCAGCCAGATCTACCTCTGGACTTTTCCCATAGTGAGTCAAAAAAGTCCCTTTCTTACTTCGGCTCCTTTGAGTTAGGTTTGCCGTTATTGGCAACTGAAACGATGACTAGAGCACTTTTCATGACTTAGCTCGTTTGATTCTCACCACCGCCCCATGAGGCAGAACTGTTGCTTTCAACCACTTTGATGGGGAAATGACACCGGTGAAATGTGCCTTGCCGGAGGTCTCGCAGTTTTTAATGGCACAAATAGAATTTGCCAGTGGGCAGTTTGAACTTGAACTTAACGGTGCCTTCCAAGGCTGCTCAGGAAGGTGTCCCCAGTAGTTCCTGTGCCCAGGTACCAGGCTGAGTGCGACCCACGCCTGCTCCCGTCCCCTCTGCTGCTGTGCTCCACACTATGGCCTCCCTCAGGCCCTGGATTTTTACATCTAGACCTTTAGTCAGGCTATTTTCTCCACCTGAACACAGTCCCTATCCCGCCTCTGCCTGGCAATGTTTACTTATCCTTCAAATCTTGAATCAAATGTCAAATCCTTCTAGAAGCCTTCAAGGTTACCCTACCAAGAAGCAATTATTTCCTCCTTTGAGTTTTAAGGACTTTGATCTGAACATGGGGCCAAATGAATGTCTTCCAGGGCTTATGGCACAGTCACTTAAAGGCATTTCTTAGGGACCTTGGCAGAGACTGGTGGTTTGAAGTCACCAGATTTCCACTCCAGTCGTCTCAAAGGTAACGCTGCAAAACATCATACTTTTTGTAACAACCAGTGCCAGTATCGGGGTTGAGACCTGGAGACTGGCTGTGGGGCCACAGGACATCAGAATATTTAGTCACATGCCAGGGATCCTAAGTCACCTAACTACTCCTTCTGGATTTAGAAGGATGAACACACCTTGTTTTCTCTTAGGCCCTTGCCTTTCTCCACCCTCTATCCCCCCACCCCCTGCCACTGGCTGGTAGAAATATGTCTTCCCTGTGTTTGTGTTAAAATGACCCACAAAATGGATTTGTAAGAAAGCAAGTGTGTTGTTAGTGGGCTCCTCTTTAGAAAATCACAAGACGTGCCTGAGTGGTAGGTAGGGTTTGAGCCAGGCCCTTAATCTTCTCCATTCGTGTGTGGAGAGACTGGTGCTCTTAGGAAACTGCTTAAATTTTGTTTCATTATTCCCTATGTTTGGATTACGTCCATTCATTCATTCCACACATACTTATTGAGCACCTACCATATGTCAAAGTCCCCGCCCTCATGGAGCTTACATTCTATAGTAGTGATACCAATTGTATCTATCTATCTTATCTATCTGTGCATTTATCTATCTATCTCAGGTTGAAGAAAAATAAAATAGGGTGGGATGGTTGGTAAGGGGCTAGAGAGTG